AGTTCAACGCAACTTGTGTTTTCTGGATTTCTGGCCTTAATAGATTTGCTGTCCTCATGAATGTTTATTTGATTCTGTTGGATATGTAAAATAACGTAAAAGGGCAAAATGTTTGGGTGAACATACATAGAACAAACATCTGCACAATATTTGGTGACTCTTTACTTGAAGGGGTGTTTTTAAGACTGATACGACTCTGACATAAACATTTAACATGAAGGAGTCTTTATGAATGTCCATGACTGTTATCATGATGCGTCATTCTGTAAATAATGACACTTTTAATGCAGTGTTGCTTTAAAAGTTGCATTAAAAGTGAATTAAAAGTGCCAATTTTTTTTTTAATTTTCAAAATTTCAAAAAAAAAAAAAAAAGGTCATACTGCATTTTGTCTGACTTTTATATCATCAAATCCGGATCAATGGCTGAAAAAACTCAGAATGATGAAAATGTGAAGGGAATCGGATCCATCACAACGCCACCACTCTGAGCTCAGATTAAAAACTACACAAACCACAGACAGTAATCCACAGAATGACGTTGCTATTAGTTAGTTGTGGTGGCCTTCTTTTTATTCGTGTTATGATTTTTGTGCCAATCCTGTTGACTCCCATTGCTGGATAAACTTTAAAATTGATCCACAAACGGCTCCACACTGTATTACTTCTATAAAATGTGACGCTGTGTGACATCAGCTCTCTTCTTCTGCGCACTGCGGTCGCTTTGGGGTGGTAAACCGTTCACACAGAAGTCTGGTTGTGTTTGGGTTTTATTTGTAGCATGAACAAGCAAACGCCTAATGCTGCAATGATAATGTTGATTCAACACACTGCGCAGCTCCAACAGCCTCACAACACACCCTAAATGAGGGCAACACGTTGCCTCCACGTTAAAATCAGGAGTACTGCTCAGTGGGAGGCGACACGTCGAGGCGAACGGCTTCAATCACCTCCAGCAGGTCAGACGTGACTTTGTGGATTCTTCTTCAGCCGTGATTTCAAATCATCCATTCATCTTCCAAATCAGCGATTCGTGAAAATGAGGACAACATCTACAAACTTTTTTTTTTCCTTTTTAAATCGCTGCTTTAATGCTTACTGGGGATCTCTGTGGGATTAATTAAAATTCATCCCGTTTTAAACCGGTATTGGTTTCATGTTCTGTCTGTCGGCTCCGTCACTCGTGACACCTCTCAGACAAAAGAACGATGCCTGGGAAGGACGTCTGGAGCAAGAAGGAAGGAGCTCAAAGACTGGATGTCTCTCAGAAACCGTTTGACGGCGAGACATAAGTGGATGGATAAAAATAAATACAGGCTGTGATTTGTGCGAGTCGTTCTACAGAAATGGGAAAGGACTGAAGTTAAAGAGCAGACTACAGATTGGAGACTTCCCTGAGGTGGTTTTTACATTTAAAAGGGAATTTATTCAGGTACAAAAAAAAACCCTCTGATCAAAACAGGTTTACTTAAAACACTCAGCTCCTGCAGGAGTTGAGCAAATCCAGACTGATCTTGTTGAGCTCAGGCTGCTACAATTGTTGGTTCTTTCGCACAGTAAATTGAACAGACAGCTGAAAACCACAGCTTGTTTTTAATTACGCCTTTCTGATCATTACTGAGTCGGTGAGTGATGTATACACTTCGTTAGATTGAGATAAGAAGTAGGATTAAACAAGTGTTCACGTCTTCTTGGACGATATGGCTTATAGGAGCATTTCATATCAGTCGACATTGATAATTATTGATTCTTTTGTTTTAAATATTTTAAGTACCGCCAAAAAACGTTGTGCACACAAATTTCTTAGTTTTGCACAGCAGCAAATAAGGTCCTGTCCAAACGCCAGCTTTCCCCAAACTGTGACTTTCTGCAGCGTTTGCACATCTAGTCCATTTTAAACACTCTTCCTACATGTCCTCTACTGCTTTCTGGATGATGAAGAAAGAAAAGCAATGAACTAATTGTATTAAACCTTTTAAATATTAGCTGAAGAAGATATGCTGCATTCGATTCGCCTCGGAAGCTTCTGGAAATTGCAAAATTGTTGTGCAGCTAAATGCTGTTAGCAACACAAACCAAACACTTCACATCTTCAAACAGTCAAGAAATGTGTTTATTAACTGGTTTGATTAGATATAGACCTTTAATATCTTTTAAATACACGGCAGCCATGCTGGATATTGAACAACATGGCTACAACATAAGAAACTTTTTGACTTTCCAACTTGGAATTCCGACTTTGGGAATTGTTCTAGTGGCATTTCTGATCGGAAACCCAAACAAACACGGCAGTAAAAGCTGAAAAGAAAAAATTAAATAGTGTCGTAGAAAACGTGAGCTTTAAGTGCTTTGGGCTTTGGAATTGCTTTTGTAGATTTTGTTGTCGCTAATTTTAATATCATAAAGCCAACGCTTGAGAATTTGTTTCATCTTTGTGTCTCTGTAGATGATTTATATGTAAAATAAAATGTACTTGTAAAAAATTATTACACAAGTTACTTTTTTAATCTTAAGATCTGTTCACATTTACAAAGCCACTAGGCGGTAAAGACTGAACTTTGACTAGGCCACTCCAAAACTTTAGTTTTGTCTTCTTCAGATACAAAGCGTGGCTGTTGGTGTTTCTTTTTTATTTATTTTTTTGAACATGTTGTGTTAGTTTTATATCAGATCAAACAGAACAAACCAAGAAATTCCTCTTTTGTCTCGTTTGCACACAGAATATTTTTTCTAAAAATCTCAGGAATAATTTTTTTGATGTACATTTCTAACTCTTTAAGGTCAGGTAGATGAGAAAATTATGCATTCACAGCACTCTAAATCTAAAACTATAGATTAACCAATGAAAATAAATTTGTGATGACAGTTAGAGGACAAGTTTTAGGCCTCCTGAGAAATTTAGTGCTTAAAAACTAAAGTTTAACTTCAAAACGGCACAAATGCTAATTTGCTGTTGTCCTCATTTTTAAAGACACCTTGGCACATTTGTTGCTTAAAAAATAGATGCAATTTATATATTTTTAATATATCTGCAACAGTATTTATAGCTCCATTTTGTCTCTTTATTTCCTGTCCTCTGCAGGACAGGAAGCAAAAAAAAGTCCCTGCATGGGAGAGATTTTAGTTAATATCTAAATATCCCCAATTTCCTATTTTCAGTTCTAAATGGAATAATTTTTATTCTAAAAAAAAAAAAAAATACAAATTACTGTCCATAAGTATGATAATGACACAATGAATATGATTATGTGGTGACAGAGCTCATTTTATTCATGGCAGAATAAATATGGAAATGAAGTTCAACATTTTGATGGAGGCCGAGATGAAATAATGGGAGCCGACTGTATGTTTCGCTTTCATTCACGTCGGTGGGATTTTTCAGACCGACGCCGGCTGAAACGCTCTTCACTTCAAACACGATTTCATCAGGTGAGAAAGAATCGCTCTGCATTTTGTTCCGGCGTAAGCTACAGTTTGAAAAATCTGCCCCGATAACCTCGCAGGCAGCGGTGTGAGCGAAGTGTGAAAGTCGAGTCAACTGCAAGACGAGCCCCGAAACGATGCAGCGTAACAACGAGTCAACCCGTCGGGCACGAGGCTGTCTGGATTGAAAGTTTCCCTCCGCCTACCTTTCTGGTAGTCGGGCGTGCTGTCTCGGAGCAGGCAGCTGAGCTGGTGGCCGTTGAGATGCAGGAAGCGCAGCTGGTCTCGCATCGACCGCTCCTCCAGCACGCCGGGGATGACGCGGCCGACGCTGTTCTGAGGCACGGGCAGCCCAAGGCCCAGGGCCAGCGTCGGGGCCAGGTCGACCTGCTCCACCTCGCCGGGCCTCTCCATTCCCGCTGCAGGAAGAGAAGACAAAAACAAAGGGAGGGTCAAAACTTCAGTACAAGGGCCACAAATGTACTTTTCCATACAATCTGCATCCTGGTGAGTCAAGTTCATTTGCGTAGCAGACTTCAGCAACAGGCAGTGCAAAGGGCTTTACATCATAAAAACACAATACAGCACAAATTATGAACCAAGAAGTAAACATTACACTTTGTCAAATGGTGTCATCAGTATAATCAAGAAAATACTAATCAAACATATTGATCAATATTCCAGTGATTACAAATCAAAGGCAACTCTAAACAAATGGCTTCCAGTCTTGATTTAAAGTGTTCCAGCAGTTTTGCAGTTTTCTGGAAGTTTCTTCCATACAAGAAGATTAGATTGGTTCTGGTTCTGGCAATGCAGAGCAGAACCAGAACCAGAAGACTAGAGTGGATCTGCTGCTGATCCAACACCAGCAGCAGATCGTTAAAGTGTTAGTCCGTCTAATCCCAGACGTTTCCAGGCCCTGTAGGAACCCAGACACCCCGTCTTCTGTGGGTGTTTCCACTCCTTAACGCCACGTCGTCCCAGCAGTGACGGCTGTGTCAAACCGATCACCAACACAGATATTTGTTTCTCAAGACAAAAGCCATGGTTTTCTACTTCGGTCACATTCCAGGCACATTCAATAACTCCACTTTCTGTCTTGTTTTTACGCAGGTTTACGCCCCTGCACACAAAAGCCTTTCACAAGCCTCATAAGGACAAATTTGCAGAAAAAAGGAAGTCCTCGTCCTGGAGTCAGAAACGTGGCAACAGCAGCGGCGAAACATCCCACGGCGTTCAATTACTAGGAAGCTTGATGAAGTAAGACAAATTAACGGAGCGTGCTGTTGTAGTCGCTGCTACTCCGCTACTTCTGACCCCTCAGCGGTGAAACTGTGAGCAAACTAAAGCAACGTGAGGGGGTGGGGAGAGCTGAAAACGTCTCATTTTAATACATGAAGGCAGCCTGTATCGTGTTCGTGGGTTAGAACCGGGGCAAAAAAAAAGAAAAGTAACGTTTTAGAAACCGAACACAATACGACAAATCACCCCCATCATTATTCTCATATTAATACCCATGAGGGGGGCTGTCAGGACGGCAACAGCATCAACAAAATAAGACGTGAATTTAATCATCATCATCATCATCATCATCAAGTGAGCCCGGGATTTTGTTTTTCAAAGCCAGTCGTCTCCTGTCAAGCGCTTCGTTGTTGACAATCTGCTTCCTGAAGAGAGCTTCCGACAACAGACAGACAGTGGGAGTGCTGTTCTCCCCCGCCCTGCTCTGTCTGTGTTTGAGTGAAGTTTTCAGGTTGCAGCGATGAATTAAACTTATGCAGAAAGTCTTTTTAAATGAACAGAGGATCTGTCAGGAAGTGAGACCACCGCAGATTAAAGACGGGCACGCATTTCGGAGCTGGAGGCTTATTTGGACAGACCGGTATAAGCCAGAAAACGATCCATTTGAAAGTAAAAGGAGCTACAGTCACCTCCAGAAAGCAAAAGACGACAGGAAGTGAAACCTGCTTTCAGATGTTTAGTACCAAGTTGCAGATTTAAAGTTTGGTTGTTAGTTGCAATTATACTGACAGCTAAAGCAGTTGGGAGTCTTCTTTTTCTCCATCTGTACGTTGTTAACAGCAAGCAGAGGGGCTTCCTCCATTATCGAACCCCACACACTAGCCTGTGGAGAGCAGGAGTCTTCAAATCCAGACCTCCAGGCCCTGGAACCTTTAGATGTGTCCCTGATCCAGCACACCTGAATCAAACGGCTGGACCCGCTCCTCAGTGTGCAGTACAGTTCTCCTGAGACCTCATTACTGGACTCAGGTGTATTGAAGCGGAGACACAACTAAAAGCGGCAGAGCAGAGGGTCCTTGAGGCCTGGATTTAGATAACCATCTAGCTGGCTGTCCATTATCAAACCCCCACACTAGCTACCCATCTAGCTCTCCATTTATCTAGCTAGCTGCACAACTAGCTAGATACAAGCTACACAGCTAGCTAGATAAATGGATAGCTATACAGAAAGCAAAATAGCTAGCTAGCTAGATGACAGGAAGGCCATTATATCCTTTTGAGCTTTTAGCATGGAAACATTTTGGTTTCAGAAAGGTTGGAAGGTTTCTGTAAATCTCAGACTTAAGATAAGAAACTTCACTTTCCAGAAAAGATGATTCAAAGAGGTAGATGTTTTAATAACTTCAGCTAATTGTAGTTGCATCTCTACTTATCGCTTAACAGATTTCTAACACACATAAAATTCTCCATTTTGCTCATGAACTGGAAATGCATTATGTCAACTTACATCAGAATCAAATGTGCTAATACTGATAGCTTGTAAAAACTATCACCCTCCGTCAAAATGTTATTCAGCCTCCGCTCTTGCAACATGGTTAATTAAGCCTTTTTATTTTTATAAAAGACACATTATTACTAAACGGATGAAACCAAAACACATTTACCAGTGAACAATGTGACTTTATCAAATACAGTCACAAAAATTTCAATTGTAGCAATTCGAACTAAATTGAAAACTATGATAAAAAACAAACAAACATAATAACCCAGTTTGTAAATGAAATAAAGAGAAAAGCTGGAGGACTTCGGGTCATGATGGAGTGTCCTTGCAGCTCTCTTTATTTCTTTTAAAATAAGGGGTGAAGACGGACCACCTTGTTCAAGTGCTCCAATCATTCACCTCCAGGGCTGTGGGTCTCCCTGGGTCAGCCAGAGTAGAATCAAGGGTCATTTGTTCCCCACAATCTTTAAAAGTAAAGAAAGTAAAGTAGTATTTCTACAAACTCTTGCATCAGTTGGTTAGACTTTATGGCCCAGTAAAGAGTTAATCTTTAAGCCCTTCGTAAGCTAACATTCAAACTTTTTTTTCTTCATGTTTGTGTTAAAAAGTTGGAAAAAATTATTAGGAAAACATTATTTCAGCACCTAATCAAGCGTTTAAATACTAAAAAGTGAGTCAACCCTGATTTTTTTTTCCTGTACAGATCTTACTGAGACATCTTTCAAAATATCTAATTGCTCACTTGAAAACAAAAACACTCTCGACATTTTAATGTAGAGAGACAAAATATCCATTACAAAAATGGTTCGTGCCTTTAAGTGAAATATTTATTTGATCCAGAAACACATTCAGAATTTTGTCTCCCACAGATTCATTACATGCCAGCATTTCACACAGATCAGTTTCACATCCACAGAAACAGAATCAGTTTGTTCAACTCCAACCAAAGAGAGGAAATGCCTCCAGGAACATAAGCTGGAAGATTGGTGGGAATTTGACAGACTGATATCTTAACCGGCTGCTATAGATGGTGCATGTACATCTGTCCGGTTAAGGTTCGCCGTTGTAGCGCTACATGGTTCAGAGACGGTTTAGGAGAAAGTGTTTTGGTCAGTAGAGAGCAAAATCAAACTCTCATTTGTTCTGCTCGGCGGCCAATTGAATGTGAACTCCAGGAATATTAAAGATGGGTCATGAATGAGACTTCCAGCATGGCAATAAATCAAGATAAACGGCTAAGACAACAATGGAGTTACCAAAGATGAAGCACGTTAAGGTCGTGCAGGAAGTCCGTAGCAGACCAGTTTTCTGTCTTTCGAACATCATCGACTGGAATGTATTGTTGTCACAATAAATCAAAATTCTTATGACAAGAAATTCTCATGATATCAATAAATGAGAAAAAATAAATGAGATATTTATAAAAACAATAATCCAAAACTTTTCCCTGCTGAGCAAATACAGCTGGGATGTTACAGACACTTTACTGTTATTTTATGCATTAAAATATGAATTTCTTTTAAGGCTTTTTTTCACCGCACCTGAAAGTGCCGAACAGCCTTAAAGTTAATTCCAATCCCTATTGCTCAAGGGAAAAACAATAAAGTTGAAGTGACATTGAAATATTAAATTTAAAACTTTAATTATAAGGTTCAAAATGTAACATTATGATGCTGAGAGTCCCTTTTCATTGCACTGTGTGTACAGTACAGACCGTGAAGCCTCCTGGTGTTTAGTTAGCGGCTAGCTGTTGAACTAACTTTAAAACTTACCTTCCATAGTTTATGTGAGATAACGACAGAGTTTATTTTTCATTTGAAAACGGTGTCAAAGTTTTTATAGCCTTTTCCTTTTGACTCCAGGACAGTAGAGATAGAGGCAGACTCAGACACACTTACCTAGATATACAACAGTCCTAGCCATGTCTGAATAAAGTGGATTTGCCTGTCAGGGTCCTTCCAGCAAAGTCAATTAAACGTTCTGCCAATATGCGCTTTTCTTAGAGACGCAATGAGATTAAAGAGTGACGCACAGGTATTCAGCAGGCAGCGAGTTCTGACACCGGGGAGCATGTGCTAATGAAAACAACAGGGAGACAAGCGCTCCGCTAATGACCCCTCATTTGAAAGAGTAGCTATTTATGCTAATGCAGCCACTGATTTCATTAACCAACATGTTTCCATGCCGCCATGTTTATGTCTAAGGTGCCACTTAGTGAAAGCCCTCACCTTACGAGATTATGGTACATTTCCTTAGAGAGCCTCCCTTTTGATGAGGAGATTTTAATCAAACCTTGAGGAAATTTTACAGTGTTTCTACGAGCAGTTAGCTGTTTTTTTTCTTGTTTTTTTTTTCTCTCAGTAGCAAATGGTAAAGTGAGACCAAGTGTGGCTCTGAAAACTTTTAAATGCACCAAAACACAAAACATTTGGTTCTCCAGGCATACTATATTGACTTAGAAAATAAGATCTTGAAACTGAAAAGCCTTTGGGACAGCTATGGAGAAATTTCAAATAGACTCAACATTCTTTCTGGGGACATCATTCAAACTTTTAACTTGGTGTTTAAGACTTTTTAAGACCTTTATGACTGAAATTTAAGACCTATATCTCCACATAAACAATGTTCTCCAGCCAACTGGCAATAAATTTGCACTTATCAACACAAAAGAAGCTAGCTAGCTAGCTAGCTAGCTAGCAACTAGGGTATGTTAACAGCTAGTTACTGGTAGCCTCAACCATCTGAAGATTTTTGAGTGCAACTTGAACTTTAACCTGACAGAAAAGTCCTGCAAGAACAATACACTAAATTAAGACAAAATTTAAGACCATTATTAACATGTTAGAGCTCAACTTACTTTTAAGATATTTTAAGGCCTTAATTTTAGATGCATTAATTTATTACTTTTTAAGGATGCTGGGATGCCCTGCAGCTTGTTATTGCTGTTACTTTAAAAAGAGCAGAACCACATAGGAGGCGCAATGTTGTGTTGAGTTTAGTACAAATGACAAGCTGCTTTGCAGAATTGGTGAGTTCATCAAATATTCAAATGACTGACATATGTTTGGCTGAATAAAATCTAATTTGGCGTTTATTTCCCAATTACCTCAACCATGATAGTTTAAGACAACCATCTAAAACATCCAAGCTATTCATTGAAGCACTGCAGGATGCTAACAAACGTCAGCAAGTGAATAATCAGCTTGAATGGTGTAGAAATCAAACAAGCAAGGAGAATTTCAAAAATAGAAGATCTAATTATCACAATCCCACGTTCACACTTAACTTCATTCATCACCTCAAGGAACACCTCTGCTAGTGAGTCTTAGCACCGACGACGTCGTTTGTCACATTATAGCTGCCGCAACCTCACCAGGGAGCGTATGGGGAGAAAGGGTGGTTTTTGATTCATAACAGGGGGAAAACCCTCCACATTTACAACCCAGCCTTCTTCTCTGTTACCATTTGGCTTACCTTTTCTTTTGAAGGCTGGACTGATGAGCACCAGAGCCGTGTTGACTTCTGGCTCCGAGGAGCCCCCGTGGCTGCCGGTCTCGGTCATGCCGTGGTCTCCACACAGCACCAGCAGGTAGGGCAAAGATCCCTCAGCCTCCTACGGGGAACCAAACACCAGGGTCAACGTCCGAGCTTTGTGTGTGCCGACGTGAGAAGACGTCTCCTGTTCTGAGTCTAAAATTCACAATATGCTCCAACATCCTGCCGTTTACTGAAATAAAAAAAAAACAAAAAAAACATGCTTTCTGAGGGATCATGATGCCGTTATGGCAGCGGCGTCCAAGAGCATTAAATTATGACTTCTGAGAAGGAAGTCATGACAAAACACTCCAGAGTATTGTTTCTATTAGATTTGGAAGAGACAAAAAAAAAAAAAACTACTGCAAACGCAGTGAACAAACGCAAAGGGCGAGCGGTTTGGCCAGGATGACAGACTTTGATCAGACACAGGTTGTTCATTAAGTGGATTCCCTTTCATCCTGAGTCGGGGGGAACCCTCAGTCGACAACAAATTCAACTGGGAGGCTTTGTGAGTCATAGCACAGTGGTCTGATATATATATATAAAAAAAAACACTGCTTGAGATGTTAAGAAAACAACTGTCCGCAGATTCAAACACTCTCAGAAGACGTTTCAGTTCCCACACAAACACCCAACAATCGAAGGATTGTTGTTCAAGACGGGAAAGTTTCATCTGAACTAAAAGGACTGCATTAAAGTAAAAAAAAAATGCTTATGTCAGCTCATCTTTATTCTATCGCTGGGAGTTGACTTATCATTTTTTGCTTTAATAGGGGACATAAAAGACTGGTGAATGCTCCAAACAAATGCTGCAGTAAAGAGCCTGACCTCGGCTGCGTTTGGAGCCCCGATGGCTCATTATAACCCACACTCAGTAGGAAAATAAAGAAGGCAACCTCCTGTTCTGGGTTGTACCTGTTGGAAGCTTGTTATAAATGTCACAGGGCCCAGGGGAGCCGAGACAACACCTCGAGAAAAAAGTACAAAGCACCGCTGATCCTGACCCAGTCTCTCCTTTCAGCTTACAACCAGACACAATTAACTTCTTTTCCTTGCAATGAAAGCCTAAAGCTTTGGGGGCAGCAGAGCGTATTTACCAGAACAAGCAAACTCCCTCTAAACAGTGTCCGATAGCTGAGATCTAAAGCCAGGGGATTCAACTTAACACTTTAAACAGCTGAGCAAAGGTAAGGAGTATTTACTGGCATAAAGCTGGAATTACTAACACAGGAGTGAGGAACACTGAAGCAGAACAGAAGTTCAATTTCTGTCAACGTAACCTCAATGATCAAGGGCGTCCACCAGGGTTCTGTCCTTGGACCAGTTCTGTTCGCCATTGATTTAAGATCTATATCTCCATTATGGAACTGGAAATCCCATCTTGATGCCACAGTCCTGTTTTCTTGTGTGAAATGTTTATTTGAAAACTTTTTTAGGTAAACTTAGCAAAATGCTAATAATAGAGCTGGGCATAACAGCAGTTTAATAAAATCCATGGACTTCAACACGTAGTCCTAACATGCTGGGCCAGACAATAAAAAGGGCTTACAGTGGGGCAGCCCAGGACTCTGATTTTTGAGGTGTGGGAGCAAAAAGATTTTTATTTTTAAGATTTTAATTTCCTAAAGTTTCAATAGGAAAAACAGCTCCCATACTAATTCCCTAAACCTAAATCATCCCACTATTATTCCATTTTAATCCATTTTCATTCTTTTTTGTTTTTGTACCTTACGAACCTTCAACCAGTTTCTGTTTTTCTGCAGGTCTCAGAAACTTTACACATCAAACGGCAACCGTCACCCTACAAACTCAAAATCTCAGGAAGAGAAGATTAAGGCCATGAGCTCAACATTAACACAAAGGTCCAACCGAGGCCTTCTTGACTGCGAGGTCACGATACCCAATCTTGTTTTTTAATAGAACCTGATGCATCTCTCTGCTCAACAGCTGAAGCGTTTCTCTGCACGGGGAAAAAAAACCCCAAAAAACGAGACAACTGGCACCTCATTACAAACGGAGCGGTGAGGGGCTGTCATCTGAATCTGATGCTCCGTTTCTTTCTTTCTTTTTATTTTTTCTCCTCCCCTTGCAGCTGGGAGCCGTTGCTCCTCCAGGATGTGGCGGCAGACGACGCGCGCGGCATCTGCAGCGGCGCGTGAAACACTCCCACATGATGCGATCGCAGCGAGAGGGGACCAGAGAAAACATCGGCGTCGTTGCGCGACGCCCCGTAGGACTCCACAGGGGCGGGTTTATATTTACATTCACACAAACGGGACTGAAATGAGGCTGTAAAACACATTTCAGTCAAACAAAAAAAAAAACTCCAAACAGCATGCAGGCCTCATGAAAAGCCTGGAGAAGCAATACATGTTTAGACTTAATTAGCAACTTTTTGGGATGTGGCGACATGCTGGATTAGCGGTTCTAAAATAAACCCCGACGTGTTTACGGCCCGCACCTTTTCTTTTTCCTGTCTCAAAAAAAAAAAAAAAAAAAAAAAAAAACAAAAGAAAAGGGGGGAAATTGGGCGCTTTACTCAGACATGACTTGACAACTTAAGTAGCAGCTATATATCTGAATGACAACAAGACAATGCCCATTAGGAGCGCATGCAGAGTCAATATGCATGTGCTGCAGTCGGCCGCTGCGGCGAAACACAAAGAACAAGAGCTGATGAAAGATAACGGTTTATTAAATCTCTTCGGCCGACGCGACAGATAACATGACGACTGCCGACAGCCGCACAAATGACCTCAGTGAGTAAACGGCCAAAACCTGATGGTGTTAGATAGTCACAGATTGCATTGGTTACTTATTACTTATTGATCACCGTTTCAGTTTTGCTTATTTTAAAGCCTTCGTTAGGCAATAATATTTCAATAACAGTGACTAAAGTTGGAGGGAAAAACATCTGGACTTCAATTCAAAACATTAAAAAAAAATTGTTTTTCTTTTTTTTTTTTTAGAAAGGAATAAGCAACTTAATACAATCCTTTTAGATTTTACTGCTTCAAGGAAAGCTGGGGAAAATTTTCTGACAGTCATTTATGAAAGTAAGACGAAGCTGAATGGGAACCGGAAAGTTTTTCTCTCAGATATTTTAAGGTTATTTTGTTAAAAACAGGTGAACAGTGAACAACTTCTGCAGCAGATAAAACCATTCCAAATATTTGTTCTGATCTCTGACACTGTTCAGTTCAACATGAAATACTTTATGTGTCCCAAAGGGAAATTAAATGTCATAATTCATCTCATCCCAGTCGTGGACGGTGATGCTGCCACGACAAAAAAATGTTGCTGGACAATAAATCGTCCCGGAAACCATTTTGATTAACAATAATATTGTTATTTTGTCACTATTGTCACGTCGTAGTGTATCGATAATGACATAATAAGTTCGCCTTCTGAAGACCAAGTTTAATTTTGAAACTGAAAGATATTTTGAATAACTTTGAAAAATAAACAAAAATGACCAAAAACAATAAATAAAATGGAAATAAAAACCAAAGTATGAATGAAATAGATTACTGAGTCTCTATAAATAAATATGGAAAAAAATAAATAATCATCAGAATGGAAATGATCAAGCTCAGTTTAATTCATCGTGCGATTATTTGATTAGCTGATTAATTGCTCATTGTGACGGTGAAGGGTCATTCTTGCAACAAATCTGAAGAAGCCTCTCGACTGTCATGACACACCAACAGCTCAACATCTGGGCAGCAAAGACGATATTCTACAGTAGCATGTCCTGGATGACATCATCAGGTTTTAGCAAGAACTGCTAATCCGCCTCGTTTGCTTTTGCCGCTCCTCTTTAAATCTGTCTTTTCAACTCCTCCAGGATTTGAGGTCGTAGTTCTTTCATTATTTCAGATTTTGAAATGCTAACCAAAAGTTTCCAGTTGTACAAACAATACCCTGTTGCCACGGTTACGCAGCGTAGCAACTCTCCGAAAGTTCATCCAAAACCGGAGGGAATGACTGTCCGAACGTGTGACGCTGGCAGAAAACGGACTCACCTTGGAGACGAGGGAACCGTGGATCTTCTTCAGGACGTCGTCCATCTCCAGCAGCTTGGGCCGGACGAGCGAGCTGTGGGGCCCGCTGATGTGGCCGATGTGGTCCAGGCCCAGGTAGTGGAGGACCAGGACGTCCCAGTCGTCTCTCTTCAGGGTGCTGTCCAGGTGGCGCGTCACGTTGTTGTCCACCTGAATCGCAGCAGCAGGGACATGTCCACTTAGAGACGACATTCAACATTCTCTCCAGAGGTTGGAGACGCGACACACGTCAAAATCTAGCAAAAAAAATTTAAATAATGAAACCTAATCACTTTAATCTGTGCTACAAACACAAGCCAGTGTTTGCAGTGACGTGCTCTGCACCAGCAAACCTGCAGGACAAACAAGAACAGCTTGTTGGGTCCCACCGGTGCAGCTGCTGAGCATTTCTTGAGTGATCTCAGCTCGCCGTGTCCCCGTTTGATTAGCTGCCTTCACCACTTTAATGCAGAAACTTTGCAATCACCAGGATTTATACACCTGTTTCGCGTTTTGTCACATTACAGCCATAAGCCTTGATGCACTTTATTGGAATTGAACGCGATGGTTAAAAATGCGCTACCGAAATGTCAAGCGAGCATTCGTATTCGTGCGCTTCTAATCCAGCACTGCTAAATGAAAATCAGGTGAATTATATCGCCTGTGTTAAAATTTAATCTCATTAAATGAACAAACAGGTTTGTGAACACAGCAGACAGGTCAGGGAGATGTTTAATGCAAAATTAGACGATAAAACAACTGGACATCTCACAGAGCTCTGTTAAATCTGTGATATGAAAGTGGAAAAAGTATTAAAAAAAACTTTAAACTTGTACCTGGCCAAACTATAAAAGAGGGGCCAGACAAAAGTCATAAAAGTCATGTTAAAACCCAGGATGCAAGGGAAAGACGAGATCCAAAATGTTACTTTTTATGGGCAACCAGGCCTGTCACCATAACTATTTTCCTGGACAATAAATTATCCCAAAAATTATTGCGATACACGATAATATTGTTGCTTTGAGACTATTTTCTGGTAATATGTTAATAATGGTAGAAAAGTGCAAGTTCAGCCTCTCAAAGACCAATAAACTTTCATTTTGAAAGGAACTCTTACCACTGGATCTGGAAGATATTTTAAATGTTAAAAATAAATAAAACACAACAACCAAACGCAGTAAATAAAACAGACGTACACGTCCGAAGCAATGAATGAAATGAAATATTAAACCTCTGTAAACAAAATTGGCCTTTAAAAAATGTTAATCATAAAGATGGAAATTATCATGTTAATTTTGTGTCCCGTCAGACCGTCAGTTCCAAAAATAACACACACAAAAAGCTTATAAAAGTGAATGTGGGGTCAGTGTGACGCCACCAGGTTAAAAATGCTGTTCAAAGAACAATCTGTGGTTCATATTTCTTATTCAGGCCCCTTTACTCACCTGGAGATCAAAGCGTACACATTCTTTTTTCAATTGGAGCTACATTTATATCACAGTATAGTTTTGCAACTTTGAATGCATTTTTCATTAAAAATAATTGAGTCTTTACTGTTATGAGGTAAAGTGGAATGCAGGTGAGATATTTTTTACACAATATTACACCTCCAGTTTGATTTCTTCTTCGGTCTTTTAATCCCCGTAAACTTTGCGGCTCATTCAAAATGTTCACATTGTGAAAGCTGAGTTAAATGTGACTCACTCCGAGGCGTCTGTCTGAACATCAATCTTCTGGCTAACATGGCAAAGCAGGTTTATTTCATTTCTTTCATCATTCCTTATCAATCTTTTTTTTTTCCCCCTCCAAATTCCCGTATCACATGAAGCACCTGGGGCTTTAATCCTTCACTAGCATTCGCAGAGAAATCCATCACTCAACGGCGCGGACTGTTTACAGCACGAACCCGGGGCCGATTCAACTCCCGCTCACCTCAGTGTAGTCGGACACGAAGAACGACGTTGTTCCGTCGTACTCCATGAAGTGCTTCGGGAAGAGGCGGATCCACGTGTCGTCCCCGTAGAAGACGATGCGCTTGCCGGCCGTTTTGGCCTGCCAAATGAGGTTGTCCTCCAGGAGGGCGGGGGAATTCAGGTTCATCACCACGTCGATGAAGCCCGGGATGCTGCCGGTGGTGAGAGCCTGCAGAGGGGAAAGTTTCAGCCTCAATAACCGACTTGTAATGGATTTACATGACCTTATATTGTCACCAGGTTGAACACAGATACTTTAATCCGATGCTTCGTATGGCTAAATGATAAAAGAATATCATTTTCATATCTGAGAAACCATTTCAACTAAAGCCGAGATGATTAAGTGACTTAATTACGATGAATCGAGTATTGAAATAACCATCCACTAATTTAGTGATCGATTAATTGTTAACTGAAACATACATACAAAAACAATGTACCATATTCAGACCAGTAATTAAGCCAAATATGTACAAAGCATGTATAAATTTGGTATTTAAGATAAAATCACTTTTGTCTGTAAATATGTTTTAGACAAAAATTGTCAAGTGGTATAGTTTTAGCTTCACTCTGTTCAAAATTCACTAAAGGAATGTTGTGTTATTTGAAGGCGAAAAAAAATACACTTATTTGATTTTTTTTTTTATTTAAAGCATTTTTTTTAATATGTAGAAATTTGTGCAAATTTGTGTATGATGAATTAATTGTAGGAACAATTGATAGAATGATAGCCTAAATTCAACATTATGAATGAAATCCAAATGAAATACAGCGCCTATAACAAGCATGAGTCATGATCAAAAACAATTAGCTTTTTTGACAAATAAAACCTTTAATGTCAAAGTGAAATTTCTTTTTCAAAAATAATTACAAATAAAAACATAAAATAAGTGATTAAATAAATATTCACCCCCTTTATAAAGTGACTGACTTAATACAACAGAGGTCCAGCCAATTGGTGCTGGTAGCCTCCCAGTGAGTAGAATGGAGATGACCTGACTGCAGCTATTGTCTCTCAGATGATGGTAGTAAAAATAATCTTCCAGCGGAAACAAAAAAACAAACAACTGAATCTGAACCATATGGAAACATTAACAATACATATTCACTATGGGATCCGACATACAGTGACCATATATTAATTTTTTTTCCTTTTACGTCTACATTTTCCTTTCTTTTTTTTTTTGCATTTTGATATATCATTCACACAAAAGGTTTGGTTTGAATTTCCATTCAGCCGCAGGTATCCATCTCCCAGCTTTGATGACATAGAGACAAAACGTTTTCCACATTCGTCCTCTTGTTGAGTTATTTGCAGCATAACTCAAACTCAGTCAGAAATCAGATTCACATTCAAAACGTTCAGATCACCTTTTGCCACAAGTTTGCTTCGGTCCCCCCTTCATGGTTTCTGCCAAACTGCAAATGGAAACTATTAAGATTTCTTTAAGTAATGGCTTCCTTTGTGACATTTTTCCATAAAGGCCCAGCTTTCCCACCTGAGCTGTGGATCTCTGTAGCTTCTCCAGAGTTACCGCGGGCCTCTTGGCTTCGTCTATGATTAATAGTGTCCTGATCCAACAAGCCTAGTTTATGTGGATCACCATTTGTTGATAGGGTTAGCAGCTGTGTCATAATTTTCATATGATGGATTAAACGATGCAGAGCTCTGCGGCATTAAGCTACACACTAATTAGGTGACATTTGAAGGCAAATTGGTTGCACTGGGACTTAATTTAGGGCTTGAATACAAAGGCACGGAGTTTTCTTTGTAAACAAATGTGAAGACCATAGATCATTTTTCTTCCCCCGGCACTTTATGCTACGTATTTCATTGAGGTGCGTCTAAGTTTGTCATAACAAGAGAAGAAGTGGAAAACTTGATGGGGTGTAGACACTTTGGAAGACAAACCCGGCTATGATTTTGGTAGCTGCTCACTTTCTCTGATTTTACATTTAGCCACACTGGCGCCCCGAGAAAATGCTCATATGTTTGGACGCACCAGGCAAAATTTAAGGAGCGCGCAGCTACAAAAAAGAAAAAAAAAAAAAACCTATATGATTTTTTCTATTTATTCAATATTGTATTTACTTTTTTATTTTGGGGGTTTTACATTTATGTCTTCATTTAAAAAGATATAAGCCTTTCTATGACATGAATATTATTCTCTGAATTTGCTAACATTTTTTAGGAGGGGGCCATGGTCCCCCTTGGCCCAATTCTTGGGAGCGCCACTGTTCAGCAAAGCCTATTGTCACCATAATATTCAGGCTAGATTTTACATAACTGGATCAATTCAGTGCAATAAGCAATTGTCCGGGTTGCGCTCCGTGTTTGACGATGGATTCTGTACCGCTGAGAAAGTCATGGAAAAGAAACAGCTATGTTCCCCTTACAAATGTGCACAAGAATTTGTCAATATTCTGCTAATGGTGAAAAGAAAAACAAACACAATTTTGCAAGTGTGGTGTTTCCATTAAATAAGAAACGTGATTTAAATTCCACGTGAATAAGTTTGTTCACGCGAGAAGTCATTAGAAAACATCATCCACCAACCACTTCCTGTTTTCTTCTTCTTCTTCGTGATTTATGCCAGTAACATCCAGCTGTAAATCATGTGACTCCTGTGATGTGAAAAAAAAAAAGTGTTTCCGTTGCAGTTTTGCAAAAATACAGCCAGATAAAAACCACCTCACCCTGTTTGAAATTGGCACATTTCTATTAAGCACATTTATTTTCAACATGTCAAATTGAGCAATCGATGGAAGTTAATTAAATATTAGCTTCCAGGACAGAATCTGCTCCACCCCTGAAGAAGGAGACTCATGTGATGCTGCTTTCACCAAAACACTGAAGGAGATCCGAGTTTGCAGACATGAGCAAACTGTCAGTTAACCCCCCTGTGAGCTGCCGGGAGCACAGCCTGACGTCCTTCAGCATGTTTGAAAATACACAGAGATTAGCGATGTTTATTGTGCGATAACCCAGCCGTGAACGAAAACTACTGAGGGGTGGGAGGGTGGGCAGGGAAACTCTATTAAATCACTGCCTAAAGCACTGCCTTAGTGTTGATGTGTGTGTGTGTGTGTGTGTGTGTGTGTGTGTGTCTGTGTGTGCGTGTACTTGTGCTTATATAATCCAGTCTTCCACTTCACATCTAAGTATTTTGTTCATCTTATCAGCTTTTACATTTGCAGACAAAACACTTTCTCTTTGTTTGTTCCAATCTGTGGTGCTGTTTGAGAAGTGCTTTAACTCTTCTATACCTACGCCGCCAAACAGAAGCTCTTAAAAAAAAGAAAAACAACCACCCACACGTAAAAAATGAAACACCAAAAAGTGATAAACCTTTTCTTATCCGTTATCAGCTCTTCTGTAAAAATGGAAATGTATATTTTACTAGTGCAAATCTATAGGCAAAGATGCAACATTCTGGTATTGAAGGAGTTTCCAACAATAAACTGAGATAAGCTATATTGTTGTTGTTGTTTTGAGGACATTTCATGTAATATATTGATACTGGCGTAATAAGACCAGTTCTCTCTCTCAAAGACCAATTACACTGGAAGACATCTTAAACATCTAAAAATAAAAAGCAACCACAAAAAACAATAAATAAAACAGAACCAAAACTATAAATAAAGTGAATCAGAATTTCTCTCTAAACAAAATTTCCCTTGAAAAAAACAATCAGAATTGAAATCATCCAGCTAAATTTCATTTATGTGATTAGTTGATTAACTGCTAATTGCAACAGGCTTAATGCTAGGCTAAAGATGCAGTGAAAACATCAGCCAGTGGTTTCTCTGACACAGTTTGGCATTGTGCTTTAGTTTCAATTTGAAGCTTAATGACAGAGTCGGTACAACATGATGAAGAAAACAGCTTCAGGTTGCCATAGGAGCTAGAAGGAGCTCAGCATACAATATTAAGGCTAAGCATATCAAAGCAAACCTGTTCTGTTTTATTCAGGCGAGCTTTCGAGTTTTACATGCAAGTGAAAACGCAGAATATAGATTTGAATGCAGGCTCACAGAAGTTGTGGTTACCAAGGCAGACAGAACTGAATGCAGTAAATGAGATGTTTTTAATCAGTCGGCTTTATTTCTGTACAAACACCTCCGTCCAAAACTCTCAGGGAGATCAAACATAGTGACACAGAGAGAAAGCTCTACAACAGGCCATGTCAAGTCAAAATGCTCCACCTTTACTCAACTATTTTAGCTTCAGTTTGATTTCTAAAAGTTGGGGTCAAAGCAGAAATTTCAAGAAAACTTAGTTCCTCAGCTACATTTTTGTTTAACCTTTTGGGTGACTCTTTTGTTTCAGGTGCTTATTACAGGAAAGGGATGGACGACACTGCTGCATAACCAAGCTTCGCTTTCTGCCTGTTCAGCTGCACGGAGGTCACCGGTTTTATTAATAGCAATATGCTATTTTGCAAATAAAGGCGGGGGGTTATGCTGTGTGAAAATACTCTACAACTGTCCTCTCCGAATGCTTTGAAATTGTTTAAATTGCTCTACATAGAGAAATCACGTTGAAAAGCTGCCCGGATAAATGAGTGACTCATCAACGTACTAATTACCGGCCCACAGCGTGTGTCCAAGGCCTTCGACGTGAATAAATGCCGCATACAGTACGAGCGGGGTTTACTGACACTCTCCGGCGTAGCGAGGGTGCCAGAACGCCGGCGGAAGGGGTTGCGTTCCACGTTCCAGAGTCTGGCAGTAGACGGGCTTTTTTTTTTTTTTTTTTTTTTTTTCTCTTTCCTTTTCAGTGACTACTTTCTGCTCGTTTCTGGTAGGAAGACGTTCCTCTACAAACTGAAAAATATCCTTGATCGTCTCAGATAATTCGCCAGAAGAAGCCACACGCCGCTGTGTTCACACCAACCAGGCCGATTCCAACCTCTCAAATGCCCACAATGCATTGCTTTAAGTGTTGCCGTTACCTGAAATCCAATTTCAAATTAAGCACCTCAGTGATGTTCCTGAGAGTCTCACCCAGTTAATTGCGGTTACAATAGCCGTTCTAAGACATGAAAATTTTCCAAAAGAGTAAAATATAACTCAATTGTTAGAGACAGGACTGAAGTTAAATTGAGAATTAAAAGAAGATCTTCAATAAAAGGAGAAACCAAACTCATAATTGTAAAGCATCACTTG